GGCTCCTCAGTCAAAATCACAACTCAAAGAACAGCCACATGTTTGGCATGCTTAAACATTAGGTGCTGTAGGGGGTTGGGAGAGGAAAAGCTCTCTCCCAAATGACAACAGGTTGGTGCAAGTGTCAGTAATACGGAGTGTCATCATGGCCCAAACAGTTATGTCAGGCTGCCTCGCCGGTTTCCCTGCATTCATACCTCTTCACTACACACACCTCACACAAACATCCGCTGCAGAGTGCTCAGCGTTCTCAGGGTCTAGCTCACGACTGTTTGCATAGCCATCTTTCTGCTTTTCTACTTTGGAAGTCCACTCAGCTGTACGCCACAGTACATTCAACCAAACCAGGCCACCACAGGTCCTGAAGAAGAGAAAACGTTGTTCTGTCTCCTTAGTCTTGGCAATCCTGGGCCTTTTCCTGTCCTCCACTCACGTCTGACAGCACACACTATACTTCTGATACACTAGTGCTGTGTGGAAGAGGATGATTCTAAATAACAGATCAATCCCATTCCTGACTGAATCTCTCATTACATTAGATTTAACTGTATGTCCATATATTTTTGTCAATAAACTATTCTTTAGTATTACACAATAGAAAAGAAAATTCAGAGCAACCCTTCAGATGGCTTGCCATGGAACTTTGTTCAGAGCTATTAGGGGTAATAAAGGTAGTGAAATACCAGTGCAGCGTGGTAAGTAGACACAACGAAGCTACTCATGTGGTGCAGAATGTTAGTTTTCACGAGAGTTCCTGTTTGTTTGTAATGCCTGTGGTCATATATATGTAAATAGACATAGACGTAAATTTGCTTATGTGAGGGAAGAGCATACATATCAGCTCTGAGAGGAAGAAAGAAAATTTACAATATTTCATCCAAACCTGCCTTCTGTACACTGAGTATTATTAGCATGTAACTGAAATGTCTGCAGGAAACCTCAGACCAATTGAAATGAGCCTTCAACCAATCACTCAACACACACAATCATTTTTCTTCCCTCTTCCCATCCCTAAGTAAGTAAGTAAATAAATATAATGAAATAAAAGTGACATCCATAAACCCTGCAAGTGTGTGAGATCCAGGTGCCATCATATAGAACACAGACAAAAATAAAGTTGGTAATAAAAGCTGTATTGGTGCTCCAGGGTCAGAAGCCTGCTGCTGGGGATGGGGTCTTGGTTTAATCTCACAGTGCCTCATTTCCTGGCCCATCCAGGACAGGCAAGTCAGGCACAGATTTTGTCTGTGCATTGTGCAGTTTCTCACAAGGTCTGGGTACTTGCTCAGCCTCTTCCCAGCTCCTCCTCTTCACGTCAAGACTGAAGCTGCCCAGTGGCCAGCCTTCTCTTCTGCATCTTGGCACAGGGGGCTGGTCTAGTGGAGGATAAAAGTGGAATTCTCTGCTGTCTACAGGGCTCTCCCCAGGGAACAGAGCATGAAACCCAAACTTATATAAAATCATATCCTGTTTGCAAATACCATATTCCCTCCGCTTCTCACTAATCGGGTCCCATAAACCCCAGCACAGCTTGAGAGTCCATTCCTCATCTAAACAAATGCCATAAGCCTCTTTATACTTTTACAACCATGTCAAAAAATAATATTGCCTGCCAATAGTGATGTGATTGGAGTTGCCTCCTCTGAGCCATAAAAGAAGCGCAGAGTCTGTTATCAATTTCTCTAAGTGTACCGGGGGAATTATGGGTCGATTCAGTTCCAAGTTATAAATGACAACTCAAAAGCCACAGAAGCGTTTGAAGCTGGGAGCTGATGACGACATTATCATAAAAGCCTGCTCGTCCTTGCGTTTGTGGTTTTTTTTTTTTTTTTTCTTTCCTTTTGGCCTATCAAGTGAAGAGGGTAAAATAAGGCTGAGAAATGACTTCAAGATTTCTTCACACAGCAGTAGGTCAGATGGCCAGGAAAATAATCACTATTTTTAGTGATGTACCCCGAGGAGAGAGAACTAACATGGTCTTACCTGGGCTATTGTTTCCGGAGTCTCCTAACGATCTCTTTCACTATACAATGGCCAGGGCTCAGAGTTGGCAAAATGCTCTTTCCAATGGTGGGTTCTCTTGCAGTGGCATTACTTCATAATTAGAAATGAGTCATGCCCTAGTAACTAAGAAAATGAGACACCAACACAAAGAAGTTTGGAAGCCCGACACTGTCGCTCCAAACGTTCTGGAGAGGACATTTTAAAGGATCCTAAACGCTGCTTGTCCATGAGTTGCCTGACCAAGAATCCGATTACCGCAAGCAATTCTAGGGGAAAATCTAATAAGAAGCAGAGGTTTTCTGATTTCATAATGTCCCAGGTCATCTCCTCAAAAGCCAATTAATCCATCAGCATTCAGTAGCTGTACATTAAACCCAGAGAGAATGAAGCTCTATGTTCAAAGCAATGACAGTTTACATTAAGGATTGGAAATCACAGAGTACTTTTGAATGGAAGGCAATGGGTCTATCTTAGATAATTTGAACCAGAGGAGTGTTTTAAGACAAAAGCAATTACCAAATGATTCCAAACCTCCATGGTGCATCCATAACTCTAACCTGGACTACTCCCGAGTTCATACTGGCTGCCTCTTGTTATGTTATGTCTGTGGTTGTCCTGAAGCTGAAAATATAGGCTGGTTCAAATCCAAAGGACCCAGAGTTCTTCCTAGGGCTGTATCCAAACTAAAAATCTAAGGAAGCAAGATGGCTCAGGTATGGTCAAGAATATGACTTGGTTCGTTTAAATAACAATAATAATTAATAATAATAATTATAGGCCCAAGATGGCTCATTAGGTAAAAACACTTTTGGGAAACCCTGATGACCTAAATTTAAGCTCCAGAATTGATAGTGAAAGGAGAGAATTAAGTCCCCAAACTTTTGCTGACTTCCACAACCCTATCTTGGGTGCTCCACAACTCATATACACATAAATAACAGACAAAAATTTAAATATAACTGCACAAACACACAAAACTACTGAACCATATAAGTTTGCCATAGTATCATCAAGTTAAAAGCCTGGCTCTGCTATATGTGTGCTCACATGCATACTCACGCGCACGCGCACACACACACACACACACACACACACATTTACCTGGGCCTACCCAGGAGACAGAGGAAAATGTGATAATGAAGTGTCTTTCTCAAGTCCTCTTTAGCCTTCTCCGGCGCTAGGAAGGCTGCCTGACCCTCGTGTCCTCCTACCTCTGCCCGTACACCATCACCCTCCAGCACTGCTGCCGCCATCCTGACCAGGGCCACGTCCAGGATAATAATGAGGAGGTTCTCTGTGGTCCAGTGTGCTTCCTGCTGGGTATACAGAGCCAGCAGGAGCAGTTACTGCTCATTCTTTAGGTACTTAGAGAGTTACTGAAGTCGTTCGAGCTGAAGATTAAGTTAACTTGGTACGGGTTTAGTGGGATGCACTCTTTCTCCTAGAACAGCCCCTCGGGATAGTAGAACATACTGGCAAAGGCAATGAGAGCAGTTTCAAAGTCATTTATCCTCTGCTTTTCAGTTGTCCAGCAAGCTCCCAGCACCACAGGGAGTTTGCCACAACTAAAGTGGGATGATGACTGTTTTGTGTCAAGGATTAAACAGCAAAAGTCGGTGGTGAGCTGTTAAGAAAGGGGCCACATCAGGTACCGTGAGGCTGGAGGGTGGAGTTCAGAGTCAGCGGCCATCTGTTAATGATGAAGCCCACGGAAGAATCCGAAAAGCTGCTCCACGGCATCTGCATGGGAGTGTGCACATCAGTACTTCTAGCCCTTCACCACCGGCCGTGTGATTGATTTTAAAAACTTCACGTCACTTCTCCAGAAACTCTCACCCTCCACACAGGGTGTCATTAATAATTACTGTGTATGGGCTAGAAAGACAACTGGGTTACTAAGAGCACTTGCTGCTGAGGACCTGGGTTCAATTCCCAGCACCCACAAGGTGGCTCACAACTGTATGTTACTCCAGTTCCAAAGGACCTGATGCTTTCTTTGGCCTTTTCGGGTACTAGGCATGCATGTGGTGATAGTCATGTGTGCGGGGACAACAACCATATACACTGTTAAAAATGACTTCTACATTTTCCTGGCTTCCCAAAACTCAGTTGTGATAAACTGTCCAGTCCAAATGGATATTGATTAGTGTTGGCATTTTATTTCCAGAGAGGCAAGATTGAGGAACAAGAAGTGATTCCTAAGCTAGGCATCATTAAAATCAAAACATAAACAGAAAAATATGGAAATTTTCTATATAAGACTTAGCAAAGAATTGTCAAAAACGTGATTTTTTTTTCTCTCTCTCTCTCTTCAAAATCTACCGATTTTACTTGATTTAAATGCCTTAGTTCCCTGGAAACCTGACCTAGAGTTATTCTGTCCCGACATGACTTGGCACTTTCTGTTTCAGAATGAAGGTTTGTTACTGGTAAAGATTAACTTTAAATAGATTGCAGGCTATAGGGTTTGTTCTAATCATCCACAAAAATGTAGACATTTTTCTTCATGTGTTGCTTCATCTGAACAAATCTGTCCTTGAAATGTGGTATAAATAATCCTGGGTCAAAAGTCTTTGTTAATTATTGAAGACAAAAACAACCTCAAGGGGCTCACACTATGTCCCATCATGCAAAGCACTTTGTGTGACTTGTATTTTCACCACCAATATAATGTATGTGCAGAGCTGGTGAAATTCTACAGAGAATGGAGTCCTGCTGCAAAATCACTTAAAAGTCTCTCCTGGGAATGTCTAACCAAGCTGCTCTCAGGGAATGTGTGTCTTGTCACACAACTTGAATGGAAAGGCCTCTCATTTGGTATAATTCTATGTTGTCATCATCTCGAAATCCATAAATCTGTTTTGAACAGGAAGCTCGGGATTTGGCAACAAGCTCAGAGGGTCACATAGCCCTTTCTGCAAGGCAATCCTCAGAAATCAAGGGAGAGTTTTTATAAGTTCATGTAATTTTAAAAGCAGTAACAAATTTATACTTACCCCAAGTCCACCACAAGGCAATGAGGAAAAGAACTTTCGAGAATCATCACCTGCACAGTGTGAAGATAAGAAACACAAACATTGTAAATGGACAGTTCTTACTCTTTGAGTATTTATCAACATATAGTATGCCATATGTATTCCTTATTAGAAAACTAATGAAAATTTAGACCAATCAGAGTTAATTTTCAGAACACACTGCTTGTTTATACATGCATACAGAACAAACTCAAAGCAAACAAAAACAGAAAACACACACACACACACACACACACACACACACACACACACGGAATTGGTTAACTCACATGAACAAGCACATGTAAATAAAACTTGGCTTAAAAATTTGCTTTTTTATGGTACAAAAATTCTTCAAATCATGATTCCCAAGGGGCCTTTTGCTGTCCCAAGTGAAGATGCTGGCCTGAGCATCAGCTAAAACTCCTCCCTACTTCTTTGCCTTAGACAGTTCCCCAAGATGTACTTGACCTCCATGCCCTCTGACTCTCCTTTGCATAAGCCCTCGTTGGGTGGGACACTGAGTTCAGGTTTAAGGCAAATGCAGGGTAGGGGTGTACAATGGCCTGCCCAGCCCATTTTACCTTCAGGGCATTGGGAAATACACTCTGCATTCCTCAGAAAGAAAACAATTTTGGTTTTGGTTTTTGTTTTTTATATAGAATCTCATTATGTATTGCTGCCTGGTGCAACTCACTCTGTAGCCCAAGTTGCCCTTGAACTCCCAGCAATCCCCCTGCTCCAGTCTCTAAAGAGTTAAACCACCACAATAAGCTCAAAAGAATTTTAAAACTAATGCAGCAATACTGTTCATTATCATTTTAAAAATTACAACTTATGGAAAGGAACTCTGTGATCTACCGAGTTTATTTTCCAATAGGGTAGATGGTTCAAACCACAAGGTTTATAAAAATATGCACTGTCATTTAAAAAGTTTAAATACAGTACTAGGTGGTAGTGGAACTCACCTTTAATCCCAGCACTCAGGAGGCAGAGCCAGGCATATCTCTGTGAGTTCGAGGCCAGCCTAGTCTACAGAGCGAGATCCAGGAAAGGCACCAAAACTATAGGGAGAAACCCTGTCTTAAAAAATTTTTAAAAAAAGTTCAAATATAGTTTCTAAAATGTCAGTCAATCCTTTCTATTAATTTATTATTTTATTTGTATGTTTTTGGTCAGGATATATGTATGGGCACCACCTGTGTGCTTAGGATCCCCTGGAACTGGAGTTACCAGTAGTCATGAGACATCATGTGGGTGCTGGGAATCTAAACTGGGTTTTCTGCAAGAGTGGCCAGTACTCTAACCACTTAGCAACCCCTCCAGAACCAAGAACTTAGTCCTAGAAATGTATGTGTATATTTACATATCTCAGTCTACCTAAGGTTTAAGTAAGATCAAGTACATCAGAGGCCTCTCCATTGTTTGCAAATTTTTAAAAACATAACACAATAATAAGGATAATATCATTTGGGGGATGTCTATTGGTATAAACACAAACAATGTCAAATTTAACATATATCCTGAAATATTAATTGTGATTATTTCCTGGAATTAAGGTAGGGTGCTCAGTATCATTGGTGGAACCAGATACAAACTTCCACCTCACCTATGCTCCACTGATGATCAATGAAAAGCCAATTAAAATTGAAAAGAGGTTTGTGGTTTAAGTCTAAAGAGACTGTATTGTCACAGAAGAAAGCTTATTTTAAAAGCAATAAATTTTTATGAGTTGATTTTTAATATAACCACTGACATGGAAAACTATAGAGAAAACTCATGCATAAATGAAAACATCCAAGTAGGTAGAGATACTCCCTCTTAATAAACAAAAAATTGAGTTGTAGCTCAATGACAGAGCATTTGCCTGGAATGCACAAAGCCTTGGGTTGATATAATAGTACTACAATTGGAATACTGGCACCAGTAAATGACACTTGAAAACAAAACACTATAGGAAACTTAGGGACAGGAAACAGACTCTTGAAATCTGTTCTCTGATCACAGTGCCATTGCACAAAATTACTGACACATGAACAAGTGAGCGCGCACACACAAATAAATCAATAAATACTTCTGCATAACACTGCAGAAGGGTAATTTTTTTTAATATTGTTATTATTAACAAGGGGATTGATGTATCCCTGAGTATTTTGCAAGAGTAGATCCATATCTCAAATGTGAATTAAAAACATTTTTAATATCTGAACTCATTATCTATGAGCAAGTAATAGAGGTAAAGAAACTGTTGTAATGCAATAAAGTACTTTAAAGAAGTTATGTAAAAATTCATTAAACTCTAAGGTAATAAGGGAAATAAATGTATTTAATGATGTTTAAACCTTATTTAGTTATATGATAATAAAAATGAAATAAGTAATTGATAATTTTAATTTAGTTGTGTGAAAGAAATTTACTTTACTTACTGAAATTATCGCTTAATAGCACTATATTAACTTATCTGTGGACTAAAATCTGAAAGCCAGGAGGTAATCGAAAATAGCAATAATAATGGGTGATACCTTAATGCCAGAGAAAATCTTCTACTAGAAACTAGTGAAGGTAATATTTTCAAAGTATCATCATATAAGGCCCAGAGTATCTAAGTAGATAAATGGGTATCACAATAAAATCTAATTATTTTGTAACCCATAGATGTCTTTTAAGATATAAAGACTGGTCAGTCTGGTCATATTGAATTTTTATTTAAATCTTCCTTCTAATCCTAAAACATAATCATCCAGAGCCTAGTATCAATTTTGAGTTAGAAGTGATGCCTCCCTTTTTTTTTTTTTTGGAAGGATTGGGAAGTCCAAAAGTTGCAAGGGACTGAACAGGATGGATGAAGTAGACAGAGCATCTTGAGTCTGAGTTTCTACAAACAGAATAGCATCATTCCAGTCTATTTGAAACAAAAAAAATTACAAGCTACAATAATGCAAATTCCACAAAATATCTAATGCAACCTTTTAAGAGAACCTGGTAATCTACTGAGAGCTGGAACTGAAGAAGATCAGCTGTACTTTTCATTCTCCAGACAAGCTCAAGGAGTTCTGAGTGCTCAATGTTGACCATAGTGGCTGACCCAAAGGCTTCAGAGAATGTAGCAGCCCTGTGCTTCCTGAACTAGGATAGCCCATACTGAAAATGTCGCCTTGATCAACATAGTTATCTGCAATTCATAAATAAAAGTATAATGTTGTCCAAGTTCAAAACTCACTTCATTAATTAATGTCTTTGTTCTTCAGGTGTGGGATGGTGGTTCCTAAGGAGGACTGCATACATCAATTCGTGCTCACTAATGTTTACAGCCTGAGCAATCCTCGTCGGTTCCAATGAAGCCCCAGAGCAGGTAGTTTAATGACTACCGTGATTACACTCTGGAGCATATTTTCTAAAAATAGGGAAGGTGAAGCTTCTACCTTTATCAAATTAAAAGATAGACATGTCTCTGCTTAAATACTTGAATAGTGTGTCTGTATGTTCAAAGTATGATTTTACCCAAATACAAAGACCTAGATATGGTGGCAGGCTCTTGAGATGCTGAGCGGGGAGAACCATGAGCTCAAAGCCAAACTGAGCTACATACACAGAACCAAGAAAAAGAACCACGAAAAATTATTTAAACTATAGATATTTAAATTGACTTATTTGTATTTGTGTGTGTGTGTTATACATGAATTTAGCTGTACTAAATAAATTGCTTACCAGAACCAACTTTGAGCAATATTCTAAAAACTGAAGAATTTCTTTATTTTCTTTCTGCTTAGTTCTCCCAAACTGCCAGCTCTGTCCTGATCCACACACAGGCAGGGGCACAGACTCACTAGTAAAGGCGTGTACTCATTAGAGAGACTTGCCACTCATTTCAGAAGGCTTGGGATGTGTGCATAACTACTTACCTCTCTTTACTGATTTCAATGATGGTTCCTATATGCAGCATACACTTGCTCTAAACTACTAAGGGCCAGTTACCATAAGTTATTTTCAAATAATGTTGAATTAGGTAAGAGAATTTGATAATTTAAGATTGATTCAATAGATTCCTTCAAAGAAAAGAGGTAAGTTTAAAATGTTTATTTTAAGTTAAATCTGTAAAATGCAATTATTTCAGCATGTGTTTCCAAGTTAGGTATTGTTATTCAATTATAAGAGGTTATCAATAAAATAGAACTTTCTACTACTGTTTTGCACTAATATTTTCCAAAAATATTATTTCAAGTATCCATATTAAATCTTGTTGCTTAAATTTTATTTTAAAATATGATAAAGATTTTAAAAAATCATCTGTTTCATTGAAACAAATTATAATAATTAGTTTCCTACTTGCAGCATTTATTGTAATATTTGGTTTTCAGAAGTACAGCATATATTTAATGGATTAATTAAGACCTACAGTTTTCATTTAAATAAGGTACTCTGTTGTCTCCATGTGTTGAGCTCAGAAATAAGAAGTGCAAGATAGAAAACAAAAGATAAGGGTAAAAGAAATTTTCATAAAGGATGTAAAAAGGTCTTATGATCTTTCCATTTAAAAAGATGAGCAAACAAATTTGGTAACTCAAATATTTCTACATGTGAAAACATACCATATAACTGAGGCTCAAATAAAAGTTGGTTTAAAACTAAGCATTACACACTCTGCAGTGCCATTTTGTAATGCAGACTTCTCCTGATCTGCATTGGCTTCTATCTTACTCAACTCACTCCAGGCAGCAACTGCTGGAAAAATGGATTTTTTTTTTTTTTTTTGTCACACTGCTTGCCAAGTGTTCTGAGCTGACACCAGCATTGACTAATGACAGTGCTGGAATGTGCTGTTCTCAGGAGAGTGGAGGCCTGAACAGACCTAGGAGTGTCCTGGAGTCCAGCTTCTGCCCGTCCAGGGGGCTGGTGCCATACAACAGTGAGTGATGTTCAGAATGAACAAGCTGTATTTCCTCCAGGCTGGCTTTTCGACCTTGAATTCTCTGAAAGAAAACAACAACAACTTACAGTCCTCCACTGGCAGCACTCAGAAGAAATGAGATCTCGAGTCACATTTAAGATGATTAATAACCGGCTCAGATTCATCATGCAAGAATGTGACATAGATTTTCTTGGTAAAGTACCATAATAAAAATTGGAAAATGAGCAGATGCAAGATTCAGATAAATAGGCATCTGATGACATAAAGGTTATTCCTTTCTGGCATAAAAATAAACTTTTACCAAAGAAATTAGCAATTGACTCTTCTTTATAAAAGTGTCTGCTTAAGAACAAAGAGAGGGTACTGCTTGTATAATAAGCAAATTTATTAGTCTCTGTGTTACACTGGCCTGAAGAGGAAGCGGGAAGGCAGATGAGATTAACACCACAAAAGTTGACTGCATTGGATTTTCAACATCACAATCATGACAATTATTTCATGCATGTGCCCCTCGTGGTAGCTGTACTCTAGACCAACATTTCTCAAAGTGCACCCAAAGGATACATACAGCTCAGGGTCTGATTATCAGTGGTCTGTACTGAGTCAGTGTAGAAATTTGTAGTTAATATTTAGAAACTTACAAAACAATTTGACAGCATTTGTGTGTGTGTGTTTCAAATCTAACAAAATTTTGTATGTCCTCAACTTCTATTTTAGTCTTAAAATAATTCATTTAATGTATTTTATAAAAGTATTCACTGGTGACAGGCTTACAATTAAACAAAAGCAAATGCTGCTGATAATTTGAACAATCTAGACCGACTCAATGTTTTATACTCAGGCTCCTGAGAAAATTTCACTCATTTTAACAAAGAACTGAGCTCATAATTGTCCAAACTATGCATTATATTAAGTCTCAATTAGCCAACATGTGGTCTTCCCGGCTACATTCCTTGGTTAGTATGTCCTTGAACATGATAAAGGTCGTTCTGACGTACGGTGTTAATTCACCTCCACTTCTGAAAACTGCTGTGCTTCCTAAAACTACACAGACAACATTAAGGCTACACGTGACCACAAGCAAGTAGTGAGTTAACACTGAGGCACAGAACTTTGGTGAGATTCAAAAAGAATCTGTTCTTCCATGCTGCAGAGGAAGAAAGAAGCATCAGGTAAATTGGAAGAGCATCTCCCTAGGGACCAGGACAAGCCCACCCTCAGCCTCCTGGGTGTAAGGGGATGAGGCTGTAGGCAGGCCAGTCAGTGTTGGTACATGGTTCACTGAGAGGGCAGACTGGAGAAACGCTGCATAGTGACCCTCACATTTTACTATGCAGGAGGCATGGCTGTGCTTGTCATTAAAATAGATGATCAGGTCACAGTTAAAGAGGAATGGCAGGGGCCACAGAGGAAGGGAAGGATGGGAAGCAGAAGGCTCTCAAGACCACCTTCACGTCCCACATAAGCAAGCAAATACTTCGGGAATTTTCTTTGCCATAACATTGAAGTTCCCTGTTCTTGATACGATCATTCAGCATTATGTAAATCCAGTTTATAGTTCTAGAAAACTATACTTTAGAAGGATATACTTTAGAGAAATTATTCCTAAGTAAGATGAGAATTCTAATATGAAAGATTAAGAAAAATTTGGTAATGATCAGACTCTGCTCTGATCAAGTAACAAGCATCCCATAGAAGTCAGTGAATGGCTGGTAAACAAGAGATTTGGAAATGTTTATGAATGACCAAGATGACAAAATAATTAGAACAACTAGTAAAAGGTAAAATGAGTAAGAGAAAGTTGAAAGTCAGGAGCTCAGAGATTAAGTTAAACTAAAAGATTTCAGAGGAGGAAAGTCCCCCATTGAAATCCTGGTAACTCCATGGTTTGGGTCATCTAAAACTAGAATGAGCAGAGGTCAGGAAACAGGCAGAGAGCCAATCCTAGTCACATGATAATGGCCACTTAGAAAGGAGGTAGCAGCCTTTCATAGACACATATGATATATGCGGATACAGTGAAGCACCAACACATTAAATAATGTCAACTGTTTCTATTGTTTTTAGATTATTGGAGACTGAACCCAAGACCTGTATACTAGGCAAGCACTCTACCACCGAGCTCCATCCACAGCACTCTTTGTACACTATATTTTGAGCCTAGCTCTTACTAAACTGCTTAGCATGGCCTTGAACTTGCAAAACTCTTGCCTCAGCCTGGGATTACAGGATGCACTACCAGGCCATGCTAACAATGTCAATTCTATAGCTGATATTTAGACTAATGTTTTGAATATTATACTATCCTAAACCCTTATCATGTTCCTCCCTCTCCTTTCCTATTAAGACTTTCTCAGGTCTACACTGAATTTTGCCTATGGTATAAAATGAAACATCATCAATAGTGTTTTTATAGCTAGTCAAATACATGTTCATACTATACACTCCATGCTTGCCTCAAATATTTTTCTTATTCTTCAGTGATTCAAATGGCACTCTATTTGAATGCCCAGCCATGTGCCAAACAAAAATCTATAACAGGATTCAGGATTAATAGTAGTAGTAGTAGACAGTCACTGGTAGTAGACGGTTACTCAAGGGATGACAATCATAAAAGGCTGCCTACTGAATTGTACTTGGGTCAGACTGAGGCAGTAAGGAAGTAGCCATGCAGTTCTACATGACTTATTTTGAGTATCTACTTCTATCTCATAATCTATCCTTGCTTCATTATTAAAATGTACGACTATTTCTATTTTCATTTTGATAACTCAATAGACACAAACATTGCATCTATCATCTATCTATCTATCTATCTATCTATCTATCTATCTATCTATCTATCTATCTATCTCTTTATCATCTATCTACATTGTTTGAAAAATAATTGTATCCAATATAAGGAAGTAACCATTCTTTTCCTGTGTTGTTTGTTATTTGAGACAGGATCTCAGCCTGACCCCCAAGTCACCATCCTCCTGCCTCAGCTTCTTGGGTTCTGGGGACACAGACAGGAAGAACTGATTTCTTGCCAATCGCCTTTGCTTTTGTAGCTGCTAGAGAGAAAGCAGCAGAAGCCAGTCACTGACAGGCCTCTCCCCTCCAGAAGAACGAGGAGAAAGCATGGTGTGAGACTTTTGTCTTCCCGTGGGAACTCAGACAGCTGAGCTAAGAGACCCTCGACTGCAAATGTGCTCTTTCTCAGCACCATTGGTGTGGCTCTGGCTCACCCTCTCTTACCTCTGCCTTGCACTAGTCACATTCATCTTTCCTCACACAGATATCTAATATTTCTCATTTTAATTTAGTCTTTCACTTGTTTAGGCTTAACTATAGTTATTTTTATCTCATTCCTTCTCCTTCTATTTCCCGTGTGCCCTTTATTCTTCATTTTTCCCTCAAGATGCTACCAAGAGTCAAAGGTCAAGAGCATAATGAATCACAAAATGGGACAAAGTGCTCTGTTCATCTTAATTTAGGGAGATGGTTTCCATTCTCAGAAATAACAATTCTGAAGGATGGTTATGTAAACTCATCTATGATATTCTGACCCAAAGTATTTTTGAGAATTCTGAGCATATTGGGGCATTTAATACATTTAAAAGATATGGTTTATCTGGGGAGCTCCTCTGTGTTACCCAAATACAGGCCTTGGATCTTTGTCTATAGAGGCAGACAATAAGTACTTATATCTCTTCTAATGTCTTCTTAGTAAGAAACACTGTGGGGTAACCTGTGTTTATTCCTCTTTTATCATTCTTTGTGTCTTGCCTTCAATCAATGTCCACTGAAAATTACGAAGGAGCCAAGGCTTAATGAGTACTTGCCCTGTGACGATGTGTATGCTCAGATCAACACAGATCCAAGATGGTTTCCATTCAGATTGGAAGTTAGACTAAAGTCATGTAAAATTACTATATCATTGAGTCTCACAATGCACCGTGGTTCTTTCCTAAAGAAATAGTCTTTCTGAAATAAAGCCCCTTAATGCAACATGATTATAGAAAGAATGTTCTGAACATGATCTACAAAGTCATACTGTGACAGGATAAAACATGGCCTGCCCACACCCACCCACACACGGAGCACACACACGGTATAGATTCATGTTTTTTTTTTTTCTGCCAAGGAACAGAGAAAAAAGGAAACAGTCTATTCCTTCCTCTCTTGTGTTCAAAGCCTGGATTGAGGCCAGTGTCCTAATCAGTTCTCATTGGCCCTGGAGGAATCAGAACCTTTTGTAAAATATAATAAAGGGCATAAAATCATGATAAAATGCATGAAAAAGCAGTGCCTTTGGTTAGGGAACTAGAAATAATTTGGCAGAACAGATGGATTGCATTGGTTTGGTATTATTGAGGACATGAAAGGGCTCATTCTGTGGCGGTTCCAAACGAAGAGAAAATGTCCAACTTAAATTTGACAAGTCAAAGTACCTGCCTTTACTGGGGAGAGGGGAACTCCATTTTCTTTAATCATTTTCAAAGTAGTGACATATTAGGCAAAACTGTCTACTGAAGTGTCTCAATTTCTAAGATTTCCTCCATTATTTGTAAGTAGAAGGATGTGTTTATATGTTTTTCCCCCTCAGAAATCCACAGAGCTGCAGTCAGAGTGTATGTGGGGGATGGACAATAAGTAACTAATTATTACCAAAGTTGCCTTCTGCAGCATATGCGATATTTAACAGCTTGAGCATGCTCCATTGATTATTCTTCATACACCGTTTTCTCGGGATACAGAAAAGCAGGCTCTCGTGACTCACGCACAAGTGTATCTCTTAGCATTGCAGGCTGCAATCAAATGTCTAACTATTACATACAAGACTGTCTGTAAGTCCCTCAGCTCCATCACCCCTTCACGTACAGTTCTTCACCGTTTTCCTCAGAATTGAGAATGCCGAGTGAGGTAAGGAAGCAGGCACTGAGCAAGCATCCATGCAGGTCTGTGGTTCTTTCTACTGGCCACAGGGGAACAGAGCAGATTGTAATTAGGAGCCCGATTTCCAGCCCTAACTCTCCCAAGTCATACAGCAGAATAGCTACCCATGAGGCATCTCCA